TATAAATAGAACTTATATTAAAAACAATCAAGCCCTGCTTATATTTAAAAAGTAACGCGAAAGTAACGTAACGCATTACTTTACATAAAAGTAACAAAGTAATGTAATTAGTTACTTTTTTATGGAGTAACGCAATATTGTAATGCATTACTTTTAAAAGTAACTTTCCCCCGCACGAACCGTTTATCACCTCGGCCTAAAAGAAAAGAGCACCGCGGAGAGCTCGGAGCGAAAATCACTAAACAGCGCTGCGAGATCCAGCGAGAAGCGCACGAGTTCTCCGATTTAAAAAAATACATGTATCTGTTATTTAAACTAGTTTAGGGTGACCATACGTGCCATTTTCCCAGGACGCGTCCTGGCCAGGATTTCTATATTGCCTAAAATATCTAGGTTTTGGCTTTGTTTGCATGTGCAGACCGATCGGTGTGTGACATCAAAATACCATACAGACGGTTATGCTTTCGAAACGCTCTCGAGGTACTTTGATGTCCTGTGGGAAAATGGCACGTATGGTCACCCTAAACTAGTTTAATGTCTGAGACCACGCTTACATTATCAACAGCACTGACGCGGAAAACAGGAGAAGGCTTTCAAGTTAGAAGGCTTTCAAATATAGAAATCGCCAGCATTTAACGTTACCATGAGTTTACTGTAGCACTAGCTGTCTGTAACCATGTTATTGTGACAGACATGTAGGATGTTAATATTTAATTTTATTAAATTCTGAATGTGTAGGCAAGTATTAAAGGAGTAATGGAAGATGATTACAGTATTACAGTTATTAAGCTATGGAAAATGGCACGTATGGTCACCCTAAACTAGTTTAATGTCTGAGACCACGCTTACATTATCAACAGCACTGACGCGGAAAACAGGAGAAGGCTTTCAAGTTAGAAGACTTTCAAATATAGAAATCGCCAGCATTTAACGTTACCATGAGTTTACTGTAGCACTAGCTGTCTGTAACCATGTTATTGTGACAGACATGTAGGATGTTAATATTTAATTTTATTAAATTCTGAATGTGTAGGCAAGTATTAAAGGAGTAATGGAAGATGATTACAGTATTACAGTTATTAAGCTATATCAGTTTTTGTGTATTTGTGTTACTTGTATAGAGTAGTCTATAATAAAACCATAATTAACTGTCTGGTTTCTACTTTCCACAACTTTCACCCAGGAGCAAAAAATCTGCCACTAAACTTGAAAGAAATAAAGATTTGACATTTATCATGGCAATTATCAATATCGACTGATATGAAAAATCTATGGTGTTTTTTTTTAGCTATATCGATCAGCCCTATTTCCAAGGTATAAACACGTTTGAGATACTAACTTCCTGTAAGAACATCGGAGTGGTGTTCAATTTCCTGTTTTCCAGGACTAGCAGACAGGTGGTCATCCTGAAGCAGGCGGGAAGAGAGCCTTGTCATAAAGACTCATTGAAGTATGCTGGTAGGTTTAAGGGATAGTTTACCTAAAAAGGAAAATTTGCTGTTAATTTACTCACTGTACTTCATAAGACCTCAATGTATCGTCAGGAGCCACAATATAAAATTTGTTTTTCCTGTGTATTATTATTTTTGACTCTCATAGTACCAGTAGCTGTTGACCTGCATTATATGAATCACCAAGAACCACAGTTTCAGCTAAAAATCTTCTTTAGTGTTGAACTGAAGAAGAAAAGTCACCTACATTTGGATAGCTTGAGGGTGAGTAAATTAACAGTAAATTTTCATTTTTAAGTGAAGGGTTTAGGGATTTAGGGTTTACAGTGTATGTGTGTCTAAAAAAATAAATAATTTATGATTATATTATCATTAATGTATTGATTCTTCAAACACGACACAGGATAGTTAACAGGATAGTTCAACTCAACTAGTAAAAAATTAAAACACAAAAAAGTGTTACCATTTGGCCTATGCAAAGCTCAGGAGCCACAATATAAAATTCGTTTTTCCTGTGTATTATTATTTTTGACTCTCATAGTACCAGTAGCTGTTGACCTGCATTATATGAATCACCAAGAACCACAGTTTCAGCTAAAAATCTTCTTTAGTGTTGAACTGAAGAAGAAAAGTCACCTACATTTGGATAGCTTGAGGGTGAGTAAATTAACAGTAAATTTTCATTTTTAAGTGAAGGGTTTAGGGATTTAGGGTTTACAGTGTATGTGTGTCTAAAAAAATAAATAATTTATGATTATATTATCATTAATGTATTGATTCTTCAAACACGACACAGGATAGTTAACAGGATAGTTCAACTCAACTAGTAAAAAATTAAAACACAAAAAAGTGTTACCATTTGGCCTATGCAAAGCAAAGATGCAAGCCCTGTATGAAATAATTTTAGCTCACTGAAATTCAAGCTACAAAATCATATTTAACTCAGGTAATGATATGCAAATATTCACCATGAGAGAATAAGAGTGTCAGTTTCCTCCAGCAGAGGGGCAGTCCACTAACACTAGGATAAAGCTGTGTGGATTTACTGTCTGATTCTGAAATCAATCATGAGTCAAACTCTACTCATTTTATTTGCCTTTTTGCCATGTGAGTTGATTCATTCAGTCACATCGGTGTGAATCTTTTTGTTGCTGACTGTATTTATACAAATACTTATCTAGTTAGAAACAGATGAAATGAGATTGACTGTGTTGTTCTCTTTTACAGATGTTTCTGGCATCTCACTGACCTCGTCTCCTGCACAGACTAAAGCTCCTGATCAGTCGGTGAGGTTGTCCTGTCAGATCTCTGGATATGCCCTCACAGACTATGGCACAGCTTGGATCAGGCAGCCTCCTGGAAAAGCCTTGGAGTGGATCGGGATCATATGGGGCAGTGGGTCAATAGACTCTGGGAATTCCTTCAAGAGTCGCTTCACTATTTCCAGAGACACGGGCCGAAATGAGCTGTACTTAGACATCAACAGCCTGCAGACTGAAGACACAGCTGTGTATTACTGTGCAAAGACAGACACAGTGGATCAGTTCAGTGTGAGAAACTGACAAAAACAGATCTGCAGCTCATCAACACATACGAACACACAACTAATGACCTGCTTCATGTTTAGGATCACATTCAGACACATTATCACACACACTAAGTAATAAAAATGTTATAACATTTGATATTACTATTCTGAGTCCCTGAAAATATATTTGCTCTTTATATATATATATATACACTGTATATACAGTGGGTACGGAAAGTATTCAGACCCCCTTAAATTTTTCACTCTTTGTTATATTACAGCCATTTGCTAAAATCATTTAAGTTAATTTTTTTCCTCATTAATGTACACACAGCACCCCATATTGACAGAAAAACACAGAATTGTTGACATTTTTGCAGATTTATTAAAAAAGAAAAACTGAAATATCACATGGTCCTAAGTATTCAGACCCTTTGCTCAGTATTTAGTAGAAGCACCCTTTTGATCTAATACAGCCATGAGTCTTTTTGGGAAAGATGCAACAAGTTTTTCACACCTGGATTTGGGGATCCTCTGCCATTCCTCCTTGCAGATCCTCTCCAGTTCTGACAGGTTGGATGGTAAACGTTGGTGGACAGCAATTTTTAGGTCTCTCCAGAGATGCTCAATTGGGTTTAAGTCAGGGCTCTGGCTGGGCCATTCAAGAACAGTCACAGAGTTGTTGTGAAGCCACTCCTTCATTATTTTAGCTGTGTGCTTAGGGTCATTGTCTTGTTGGAAGATAAACCTTCGGCCCAGTCTGAGGTCCTGAGCACTCTGGAGAAGGTTTTCGTCCAGGATATCCCAGTACTTGGCCGCATTCATCTTT